TCATTCGTCATCTGCCCCCAAAATGTAATTTTGGGGGGGCAAGCAACAAGCCAGCAGCAGTGCAACAGGACGGGACGGCATTCTCTTGGCAAAACGCCCGAGACCTTGGGACGACGACCCGAAAGACATGCTTTTCCATCGTTCAGACTGTTTTGCTTTTCTTGTCTCTTGTTGACTTGCCATGTCCATTTCCATCTCCGTCCGCGGGTCCCTATTGTGAAATGATTTACCCAGACTTTGGAGATGGTCCCCGCCGTCGCTGGCCTTTTTTCCGCCTCGCCGGAACCGAATACCGACGGACGGACTGACTCAACATGTGTCTGTCTTTGTCTTGGCCCTCTGCCTCGGAAGTCGGGAGTCACTCCAGCGGGCCACAAGCCAAAAGCCAGAGCCTAAAGCCCCAAAGTCTAGGGCCCCCAAAGACCTGAAGCCCCGAGGCCCCCCCTAAAGAGCCTAGACCGCACACCCTCCCGCGGCCCACGGTCCCACGCCCCACGGTCTCGCGGCCACCCCCTCTGACACGCCCCCCCCCTTCCCACCCGAAGTCTACACACCCCCTGACTCCCTCACTCCTGACCTCTCCCCCCCCCCACACCCTAGCAATCCCGACGAGACTGAAGGCGCCCCACCATCAATTTACCGTCTTTCCTTGCCTTTGCGCATACGACCGGACCAGATCCCGGTACACAAGGAAGGCTTCACCCTCGAGATATAATATCCTCCTCTCCCCACCCCCTTGTTCCTCGCCCTCGATCTCTGGCTCCCTTTTCTCCCCACAGACAACAGACATTCCCCAGACTTGACAACGGTATTGTCACACATCAACCCGATCCACCACTACCGACAGTCGCCATGTACGGTTCGTACGGCTCTTACAGCTCCATGGGCTCCCTCACCATGTCGGCCCCCATGGATATCACCTCGAGCAACATGCTCGCCCACGACAGGTCTTGCGCCTTTCCCTCGTGGCCGCGTCGCGACTCTCTCTCTTCGGCCGAGAGCGAGCGCCCGACATCCTACCTCTCGGACGACGATCTCTTCCCTTCGGACCCCTTTGAGGACGACGCCCACAGCGTGACGAGCACCGGTTCTTGTGCCTCGCCCACGGTGGCCGAGGACGAGATGCAACTCCAGCTTCAGATGGAGCGCGAACGCCAGCGCCACGCCGCCATGGAGCGCGAGGCCGCCCTCCGCTACGTGATCAACGAGAAGGAGCGCCGCCGCACGGCCATGGCCATGAAGCGCCGTGCCGCCAAGGGGTCTTCGAGCTCATCCAAGAAGAGCCCCAAGAGCAAGCTCGCTTCCATGACGCCCATTTCCGAGTGAAGGGCCACTGCCAACGGCGATACCGCCACAGACAACACAACTGTAAGTGTGCTCGTAAACAACAACGACCAAAAACGTATGTGAGCCAATCAGCTAACAGGCGGATCAAGATTACTGGACGGAGTGTCATGACACTGCCATTTCCAAAACCTAGAGGCGCCTCTGCCTAGAGCCCAACGGCGAAATCAGGAATCGCCTTCGCGTGCCTGACCGCAGCATGGCATTTTGCCTCGGACCACGTCACCTGGTCAAGGCGAAAAACGCGACGATGAGTTTTCGCATGTCGCTCATGACGCACCACACGACTCAAATTTGCGAGTGGCCGTGTAAGTGCGCGCGAGCAGGCCAAAAAAAAACACGACCACCAGTGGTGACGTGTGCGCCGCGACCGGGCAGCCATCAGAACAAGCCAGCAAAACAGGTTCAACCGATTACGGACCTTGGCCCAGCTGAGCTTAGGCTTACCGCCCAACTGTTAGCTGTCGGACCGACGGCCGACAGCCGACGGTGAAGAACGTGGGACAGCACCCACGTTCTGCCGTTCTGCATTGAGCCCTCGGGGGGCATTCGGGCGCTACTGTTCCCTAGAGCGGGATTTCAGGGACATGGACATCCCACCACGGCCCCCCACACACTCGAAGCAATATCCACCTCCCCCACAGCCTGCTTTCTCTCTGCCGCCTTTCCCCTTCCCTCCTTACCAGGCAATAGGCAAAAGGCAGTGACAGCAGGGCCTTCGGTCCATCGTCGGCCGGCCGTCGGGCTCGCGTGGGAAATTCCGGTGGCCTTGTCTGTCTTGCCTGGAACCTTGTCCCCCTTCTTCCTCCTTCGGCAGGGTTCTCGGTCTGGTCTGTGCCACCGAGGTTCCCTCTCCTTTACCCACGAATGAGATGGCTTGGCCATCGGAGAAGCACCGAGGTAGAACTACTCTCCAGCCATTCGGTGCATCGCCATACCAGCTTGTGCTCGGTGCTTCTCCGTGGGCCTTCGCGGTGTTTTCCGCTTCGCTTGCATTTTCTTGAATGATACCCCGAACTGTCGCCGCCCGAGACTTACAGGCCTCGAGGCTGGCTTGGAGGATGGAACGCATGGAAGTAGGAGTTTTTGGCATTTGCACGGGCTACATACTGGCATCGCATAACATGGCACTCATCGCATTGCATTGCATTTCCGGTCGTCTGCGAGGACTTGCTCGATTAATTGATACCCATGGAATACAATATCATTCACACTCACTCTGTTATTCGCCTGCATGTGACTTGGTTCCCATGATGTCTGTCAATGCTCACTGCCGCGTTCTGGTCTATAGCTCAGCAAGCCGCTTGCTCACAGACTGCCGAGGTTTTTTCAGCCGCGACACTACCACGGCAATTCGAGTCCTTGGTCCGACGATAAGCTGTACCACGGCATTTGTTGCAAGGGCTGAGCTGAGATGTAAGCTCTTCTTGCTTGTGATTGTGCTTGCGCTTGTGCACCGTGACTGCTGACGTGATGAGGCCGAGCTACGGTCCTCGCCGAGACACCCTTTTCACGCACACAGTTCTTTTGTGAGTGATACAAGTAGGATGACCATGCACAGGTAGTATCAATATCAGTTTATTTTCAATTTTGATTTCACTTTTTTTTTGAAACCCCCCACGGCTATCCCCGACACCGCCAGTGGAAGTAAGTAACCATCTACCCAAAGTGCGTCTTCTGCTCGGCGTTCAGCGCCTCGCCAAGGTACGACACGCGGTCCTTTGTGTAATACTCGACATTGATGACGCCGTCAAGGCTCGCGGCCCCGCCGTCGAGCCCGCCGGCCTTGACGCACGTCACGTCCGGCAGGACCTCGAGCTCCGTGTAGAGGCTCGACCCGCAGTCGCCGCAGAAGAAGTGCTTGTTGATCTTGCCGCTGGCGGCGACGGCGTCCCACGTCCGCGGCGTGCCCTTGGTCACGGAGAAGGCGGTACGCGGCACGATGGCGTTGGAGGTGAAGGCGCCGCCTGTCCACTGCAATTGTGCGGGTGCTCTGGTCAGCATGGTGGTCGCCCAATGCAGCGGCGCTGGTCACGTCGCGTGGAGGTTGCCACGAGGGCTCGGCTCTCGTGCTGGAGCGGACGCTCACCTTTTGACAGTCGATGCAGTGGCACAGAGCCTTGGTCAATGCTTCGCCTGCAGAGTTCGAGTCGGTCAGCTTATGTTTCTTGTCGGAGACGATCCTCGATGACGCACCCTCGAATTGGTAGGCGATGGCCCCGCAGGCACAGCTTCCCTTGGTCGTCATGTTGTCTTGTCTGCTCATCTGATTTGCCCGTCTTGGATCGCTACAAAGGCCAGACATCCAGGTTCTCAGGCCGGGCGACTACTTATACCCCATTGATGGCTCCAATGAACCTCGACAGGTTTTCGCCCCCCGCCTCAATGTCGGTCCAAGGGCGTCTTACCCACCGCAACCACGGCCAGTCTCGCTCTCACTCGCTTCAGTCCTAGCGGCCCGCCTTTTCGGGATTTGCTACTCGAAACTTGGTGATTCTGTGATGCTGCGAACCAGTCAGCATCGTCGGCGTTTGAAGAAGGGCGGGGACAAGAACAGTGAGCCGATCCAAGTGCGGGGGAGAGACAATGCATTCGGCGCGGCACGCCCTTGGCCCGACGGCGCCATGACGTCGGATGGTTCGAGCTGCGGGAGCACCGAGCAGCCCTAGGCTTTCAGGCAGTTCAGCTTTGAAGCGTGAGAACTACAGATCTTTACAAGAAAGAGCTATGGATTGCTGCGGAGTTGGGGAAAACCCCCCGAAAGAGGCCACTGGTTGCTGATGCCAGGTTACAACCCAGAAGACGTACCGCCGCTTCACCATCGTCGTGGGCGACAGATCACGCATCGAAAACAGCCAACAGTATCCAGATTATTTGATGGGGCTCAACTACTCCAGCAGTCCACTCCTGTCATTGACGCTACCCCCGAGTTGCGCTTCCAGAAAGTCAAACAGCTCTCCCCGGCTGCCCCCCCTCTCGCTCTTGCGATTCCTGAATGAGCGCTTCGCCTGAGCTGCCATTCGGCCTGACTTCGTTCGCCCAGCGCCTTCTTCGCCAGATGCTGCTTTAGACCGTGGATCCTCACAAGTTGAACCGTGTCTCGACTTGCGTTCCCCAGGAGCAGCTCGCTTGCCCGCTTGGACACCAGGTATCCCTAAGATCCATCGGCCGATGCGTAGGTTTGCTGCCACGGGTGTTGGTCCCGCCGATTCGACCGCACGGTCTGCGTGTCCCCGCAGCAGCAACCCTCGTCAACAACACGATGAGACGCAGCTGGTCATATAATTCTCAAGATCTCTCTCTGCGTGTGTGTGAGGTCTCGCCGATCAGTCCGACACAGTGGTCATCTTGGCCGTAAAAATCACGAGCTGGTGTAGGTGGTAGGATTCTAGGTAGTCCGTGTAGGGCCGCTCTCGACTTCTCCTCGATGTGCTCCCCGTGCGTAGTTACTGCTCTTGCTATCGTGCGTGCGATGATATTGGCCTTAGCCGTCGCGTTTCCTTGACCCATCTGTGGCCTTGACGAGCCGGGACGTCTTGATCGTTTTCAGCTTGCAAGTTTTGGAAAGTCATTCAGGATTAAGGTCAGCTGTGTGCGTTTACAAAGAGCAAGGCCATCGAGCAGCCCGGGCAAAGTCTGTCGAGGTCTCAGGGCGGCGGTAGCTCTGTGGACAAGGTATCATATGCCATCCTTGAGCCCGATAGCCTGCCGGTAAGCACCGAGATTCAGGCTGGTGTATCAAGACAAGTTTTGCCTTCGCCGAGCTTCGGCGCAGCGTTGACTTGCAATTGCACGGAGCGATTTCTCATGAAACTTTGCTTCATTGATTCTGGACGATGGCAGGTATGTGGTTGTAACAGCTTCAGGAAGCAGTACAAGTGGAATATGTATGCCTAAGTTGTCATCAATGTACCTCTGTCTGATCAAGGCCATGAGAAAGTCGATGCGTCTCTGAACAACAATCAAGGTGGTAATATGTTTTCTTTCGCCGCACGCTTGTCGACAGTCTCTCAGGTTGTGTGACTAAACCTGCGCTTTCTTTCTCGCAGTTCCTGGACACACGGCCAGAAACTGGAATCCAGATGGCTAAGATGTCACGTTTGACGACGAAGGTGCTATAGCAGAGGACGCGGATAACCACCGAGCTTGATCTGGCAAGAACCAAGGAGACTTACCAGACAGGATGCGATGTATCGTGCCCAGGACCCTGAAGGGGGCCTTTATGTTGGGCGAATAAAATAACCTTTGCTGCCAGATTAGTTGCTGTTGTTTGTCTGTCAAACTTTGAGCCTGGCTGTGCTGTAAAGAAGTGTGTTGTAATTGAACGCGGTGGCTGGGGTGGGCTTAGGTTACGTTGTTGGACAATATTTCGAGGAACCGTCATCATCCATCAATTGTGAACATTGGCCCACGATGAGCAGCGAGATGAAGCCTGGCTGTAAAGACTGTTGGACCCTAGTTAGGTCTAGAAGCGGCGATGAAGGAGAACCTTGGTGAAAAGACATGCCTGTAAGTTGTCACATATCGTAGCAACCATTCGTATCATGCTCGTTAGCGTAGCGACTACTACCCTATAGTAGTAGGGAGTTAGTAGCTCTATCTGCTTTCTTATAGAAGAGGGCGTAAATAGGTATTTTCTTCTTATAATAACTATAAATTAGTTTTATATTATTATAGGTAAACTATTCATAATAGTCTACGAAGTCGCTTCTAAGCGGATCTCGTAGCTATTAAACGATATAGGTTTAGTCTAGTAAAGGCGGTAATTTCCTCTATTAATTCTAGGGAGGCTTTAAGCTTAAGGGGGGTATAATATAAAGGTTACTTCTTATCCTATTAGTCCTTAAAGGCTTAGCGGTATTCTTTTCTTAATAGTCTTCGTAGGTAGCTAAAGGTTGGGGTACGGTCGGCGTTAGTGAGTAGTAGTATAGTAGTACCTCTCTTAGTAAAGGTATCCGCCGTTTCGTTCCTTAGAATATCCTAGTAGTTTAGGGACTATTGTTATTTACTATAATATTAGCATTTTACTATATAATCTTAAAGTCTAGGGCCGCTTCTTACGATAAGATTAAGGGGGTTCTATTAAGGTACTAGATCGCTAACGTACTATCTATATATATTATTACTACTATAGTAATACTATCGATGTATAAGCTAAGGCATTCCTTAAGCCCTGCTCTAGCTCTCTCTATCTTCGTATCGAATACTTCAGCTCGTAGGAGGGCCTAGTATCCTTTATAGATTAGGGTATTATGACTTCCTTTAAAGATAGCGAAGCCGAAGCCTATGCAGTTCTTGACTTAGACCCGTCTGAGAAGACGAGCAGGTGTGAGGTTGGGAGTTTCGTGACCTAGTCTCGCTATGAGTAGTGTAGCATGGTACGAGATGATATTCCACGTGCCCCTTTTAATGTCGGGCGACAGACAGCTCGCTGGAACATCACTCTTGCCGGTCACTGCGTCAAATGTCTTTGTAGAATTTGAGGGTGGTGCAACCTGAACGGAGATAGGCAAGTGGTTTTCACCACCTGGCTCTCGTATGTTGTCCTATCGTCGCTTTGTCACGCACCAGTGTGGCATTTGTGCCAAACTCATCTTGATTCGAACTTCAATAGTCTCTATGTTTGCGCGCCGAGAGGCTCTCGGCAAGAGCCTGTCTGTTCTTATGAGGCTCGGGAAACCAGAGGGTGTGACAAGGAATTGGTAGCAGCCATGGCTATGACAGATTTGGAAGATCAAAGCATGGCGCTGGCCTAGATCTTTCTTTATTGCCAGCTTAGTACGACTGCGGGTTCATATAAAAGGAGTCTCGCATCGAGTTAAGGCAAAATATTTTGGTTTCTTGGGAGTCTCTAGATAGGTAAAATACTCGATGCCCTTCCTTCAATTGTAGCCCGTTCGCCCTCCTTACAACTACTTCTTCTTTACGCTCAGCCTCTTCTCCTGGCTCCCTGCAACTAAGCACCAGGCAGTCCTCTGTCAGTGTAAGTCCTCAAAGATCAGATGTGATACAAGGCATACGTCGACATGTTCTGCCAGCAGGTTTGGTTCAGCGGTTCAGAAACGCATCTGGTCTTGGTGCATACATATTGGCGAGATTGTGTGCCGTGTTTCCAAATCACTAAATTATACAGAGAGCCTTAATCGGACGCACGCGTGGCGTGGTCATCGAGATGGTCTACCGTGATGCCTGCTGGGCTGTATCTTCTATTCGAACTTAGCATTCTACACAACCACCTTTCCTGTGCTCCTCAACGAGAGAAGGAAGGGCTAGTTGGTTTCAAATTCAGAATCTGCGACAAGTACGAAGATCTGAAGGATGCTTGAGGGTAAGTATCACGAGCGCTGTCGGACAAGCCTGGTCATATGAAGTGAGAATTTGCCAAGACACTGCGAATAACTTCACTTTGTATCTACTTCCGGGTATCCAAAGGAATTCTTCCGCTACCAGTAGACGGCATCATGAGGTCCAATGTCAAGCGATCGCAACGGGCTCGAGAGCCAACAAGAGAACGAGTGAAGGACACTCGCATCTCCCATCCTTCGCCCCAAGACCAGCGACTCATGAGGCACGTCAGCTGATCGCGACAAAACAACCCCTTCGCGCCGACCCCTCGAATCCCATCACAGTGAATCGCCCGCGCCGCCCCGCGCATCACACCGCCCCAAAAAGCCCGGCGCTTGAGCGGGAAGCGAGGGCCAGCCCGTGCCGCAACGGAAGGTGGGCCCTCGCTTCTCCATCCCTCTAAAGCGTTCCAACGTCAATCGCCCCCTTCTCTCTTACCTGATGCTGACTAGCTTGGGGGTGGAAAGACTGTTGGAAAAGCGGCGGCGTGCACATTAGGGCAGGCATTGCGGCGAGAAGTGGCGCGACAGCGCGAGAAAGGAACGTGCATGTGACGGGACCAGGGGGGAGGGGCCTTGGTGGGCTCCGTGGTGATGTGATGATCTTGCAGGGTGTGCAGGCGCTGAGTGATCCGAATGATGGGGTGGGGGATCTTGGCATTGGTCGTGTGGACAGTAAGGGGACGCAACGCGAGGGCGAACGAGTAGACAATCATTCGTCATGTGCTATTGATTGCATTTCATCGATTTTGCGACAAGTTTCGACTCTCCGCGTCCATGCCGTAGATTCCGATGCGTCAGGCGTCGGTGATCCCCGCGATTGGGCGTGTAGCTCTGATGCATGCTTGATAGGCAGATGAAGCTCCTGCTGGTTTTGTCTGAGGCATAATGTGACGAAACGGCG